GAGACAAGAATATTTTTAAAGGATTTTTAATCTTTCTTCTTGGTTTTTCACAGTACATGGTTTGTTTTTCCTTTCTTTTTATTCTAAAAATGTTTTGTCCATTTGTATTTTTTTTAGGTCTACTTTTATATTATTCCACTGAAAAATAAAACATTTTAAATACTGTTTCCAAATTCACAGACATCTCATTTTGCTTCTCAATAGGCAAACTTTATTAATGTGATATTTTCAGGTGTGCTGGATTAGCGTTAGCATGACTCCTTACTGACTGAGCATTTTAGAGCATTTTAGAGCATTTTATAATACAAGTTATTTGGAAGGTCATAGATTGCAGAAAGTTATTCTAAGATTATTACTATATTCTTACTATTATTACTATATTCTTATCAATCCCTCCCTTTGAATTATGAAGAGCTAATCATCCTGGTATTTAATACTCTTAAATATATGCAATACATTTCTCCAAAGAACTGAGGAAGATGTTTGTATTTTCTTTTTCTTATTGTTGCCCCCATAGTAACCGAGTTGATTGAAGTCCTTGTACAGGACAGAGGGATTCATCTGAAATTGAGTCAGTAGTTCAAAGTCACTAATAGTGTATTCCTATAAATCTCTATTCAAATGTGACAGCTATATTCAGTGGTACATTTTTCTCAATGTTTAAAAATGACACACATTCTGAGGTCCCCTGGAACAGCAGCAAAGAAACAGAGGGTGAGTGTGATGTTTGCTGAGTTGTAGAGAAAATAAATAAATAAATAACAAACAAATAAATAAATAAATAAATAAATTGGGCTGCATGTTTTAGGGTGATAAATTTTCCACCACTGAAAATAACATCAAATATAACATAGGAAGAAGGAAGAGCTTAAAAACCCTACTTTATCCTTAAATGATTTGATACTTTCTTTACCCTGCAGAACTCTTCCTTAAACATTTCTGGTATTGGTTTCTCCTCTTACTTACTTTGCATTCCTGTATTTCTCGTTTCCTCTTCCCTCTCACCACTCTCCCTTGCCCACTCCCAAGAGAATGGGAAGATTCCCATAGCAGATTTACATTGTAGAAAAGTAAGGCAATCTCTGTGCCACATACATTTCCAGTTGTAACTTGTTCAGAGTTGAATGATTGCACCAGACTAAAAGTAAGAGAGAGACAGAGACAGAGACAGACAGACAGAGAGACAGAGAGAGAGCAAAGTTAGACAAAGAGCCATACTCCCAGACACTACTGACTAGTATATATGGCAAGAAATAAGATTATTGTCGACTAGAGCCAAGATGAGAGGAATATTCTACATAAGATAGAACAAAAGTTTATAGAAACTTGGAATACATTTCTCACAGCTCGTCATCATTTCTCACAGCTGCCATTATCAAACTTCTAATTGAAAAGATGTGAAAACCACTATTTCTGCATTGTGACTGCCTGATCTAGAATGCCTAGAATGCCTACAGATCCCTTAGAATGAACTTGGGTTAATACAGAATAATGATAATGCTAATCTCGGGAAGAAAGAATCAGACCAAAGGATTACTTTGTCCTGGATGACATTTGATTGCACAAGAACACAATATTTGTAATCAAAATAATACATAATTCAGTGTATCAGAAAAAAAAAACACCTGAGATTCTCTATGTTAAACTTATGGATAGCTGCTAAGACTTGCATTCAGGAAAAGGTATAACTAGCAAAAAAAATATATGCAGGCATGTAGTAGAAAATGAAGAATTTGATACTTGGGCAATTCAGCACACTGTCCTTTGTTGTCACTGTTTAAGTTGTTGGTATTAGCCTCTTTTTCAATTCCATCAACAGTAGGGAATGTGCAGCATTTTGCTATTCATGAACGAAACACTCTGGAGACGTCTATAACATTCTTTTTCCACTCTGGACCATGCTTAACCTTCTCTAGACCATGCTATTCGGCAGTTGAATAGTTCACAAAGGTAAATTCCCTGAGATGAAAGTAATTGCAGGAGGTTGACCAAACAGCTGAGGATTATTTTTTTTTCTCTAGAAATTGCTAAATCACTCCAGGAGCAGTATGATGCTAAGGCGGTTTGGTGAGAGCAAGAGTTTGGGTTTAGGTATTATCGCTATGCTGATGATATCCAGCTGTATGTTTTGACCTTAGGCTGGCCAGGTATTAACCCAATGCATGGAGGTTGGATGGGGAAGGCAGACTCAAACTCAAGCTCAGTCCTGACAAGAGTAAGTGGCTGCGTTTGTTTGGGTGCCCTCATCCAGTGAGATCCCATTGTTGACCCTTAGTGGCATTGCCCTTCCCCATTTGAAATTTGTGTGCAAAATAGGGGCCTTGACACAAGCAATCTAGTGTACCAAGTACATGCTTTCCTGGACTCTCTTCAGATAGTCAATCACACTCTGCTCATTTCATGGTTGCATAGTGTAAAGAATTCTGCATGCGGCTATCCTTGAAGACCATATGTCTAGCTACATCTGGTTTGGAAACTGGTACAGGCAGGGATGGGGGGGCACTATATTGTGTACATGCGACTCCAGTTCTGGATACAATTCATGATGCTGGTTATCATCTTCACAACTCATTACAGCTTAGCTACAAAGCCAGAACCAACCTTACATGTTCCAAGGATCAATACAAACCCGTGGATCAGACAAACCACATCATCTAGAAATGAAAAGGTGATCACGCGACTGGAAATGAAAGAGATCATGAGTTCAACTTTTGCCATAGCCATGAAAGGTGGCTGGATGACTTTGGTCTGGTCTTTCTTGTCTTAAGCCCAACTCACATCACAGGGTTGTTGTTGTGGGGAGAATAGGAGGAGGACATGTTCACTGCCTTGAGTTATTTGTAAAATATTATGACAGAATACAAATAAAAAATAAATTCTCCAATCCTTTTTTTTTTTAAAGCAAAATGATGAGGTTGAGGTATAGGGAAAGAAAGATGCAATTCATTCCAAAGTGAGATACTGATGCCTTTAAGGTATGAGGCGTGATAATACTCCATATTTAGCATACTATTCATATATTGTCTTTCAGGATTTAAAGTCTCACAAGAATTTATGTGAACATTATAAACAGTATATAAGAATAAAGTATTCAAATATATAACAAATGCATCTAAAATAAATGGTGTTAAGAATTGTTTAAATAGAAGTAAATGCCATGCAAATTAAGGTTTTTTCTTTTTTAAAAAAAAATCCTCAATTAATTTTTTTTTAAAAACAACACACACCTCAGAAAAAGGGTGTGAATTTCACATTAGTGTTCTTATCTTGAAATATGCCTCTCTTAGCCTGTCTTCAGTGTTAAGGACATTGCATTGTTCTATCACTGGATGCAGTCATTTAAGATACCTCACCAGTGAAGTGAGGGCCAAAATAGGATAGGGCTGTAATCCCCAAACCTATTTGGGGATGTTCTTGGTGTGTTTTCCCATCACAATCATTGAAAATAGAGGTAAGAAACAGAAAATACAGAATCAGTCCTAAAATAGAATGTATATGTTAGATTTAAAAAATTACCCCGATTTATTTTTGCCCAAATTCTTGAAAGAGAACAGAATATTCTGCTCTGATTACATATGTTGCATCTTCATTCTACCTGATGGTTCTTCTGTCTCCAGTTATGTTCAGGGTAATATCTTTCTGCCTAAAGGTTTCCCACCTCCATAAGACCACAGAGCTAAAGAACTCAACTAACTCAAGAATATCTAGGTCTTCGAAATATATCAATAGTCTGTTTGTCCCTAAAGATACTTGTCACATCAGGATGGAAAATAAAGGCATAGCTCTCATCAATTCTCTGCATGTATCAGGACCCAATACAGCTCAGTTAGAGAGAATGTAGGAAGTAAAGATTGTTTTTCACCATTGTAAGCCTTAAAGGAGTAGGAGGCCTCAGTCATCAAAGGTTGATCTTAACTGGTTAGAAATGGTAGAATCTTCTGGATATTGTTGAAAGCTCCAGAGATACAGAAAGACTACTTAAGCCCCGACAAAGCTACATGGATATTGCTCTGTATTCCATCTGCTGAACTAGCCAGTAGATAATTAAACTTACTTATCGTTAAGTATAGTTAAGCTTGCTTCCCTGGCCTTTAATCAGTAAGATAATAATCATAATTTGTTTTTGCTCTTGAATTTAGTTTTCCAGGATGTATCTAAATAGAATACATGGTTGTATCCAATGAGATGGCCAGTAGAATTGGGGGATGGGAGCGATACTTGAAGATAAAGATGTTTCTTAAAAGCAACCTATTGTACCTATCCCCCCAGTGTTGAGAATGAAACTTTGCTTCTATTTCAGTGACTTGGGACTCAGGTGGTCTGGAATGGCAAAATAGCCTACCTGATGGAATAGATCAGTCCTATTGGACTCTGCCTGCCAACCAGAGGGAGGGGCTTTCCTGAAAGTTCTGGAATGTCCTCCAAGAAGATACAGGAAAAAGCCGTTTGCTGTACAGCCAAAGGGAACTCCATGGCTACCCTCCTCCCACTACAGTGGTGGCGGCGGAGTTTTATTTTTATCCTCTGCCTTCCACCTTGCTGCTTCCATCGCTGTCACTCTCCAACGTGAGGCAAGGCCTCCCCTCCCTTGGCTCCTGAAGGGAGAAATGGGGTTGGGTAGTGCCAAGAGAGGATTTTTCTGTCTCGTTCTTGCCTCTGGGATATTCTGGAGTCAGCCCATTTGTCATGTACCACCTCAGGGGTTCCCTTTCATTTCTTACGAAGTTATTATCCCAAGAAGGATGGCAGCCCGACGAGGCCGGGAACCGCAAGACCTTACTTATTTAATGGAGATAGAAGGGAAAGGTCATGTGGTACACCTCAGGCAGAAGAGGAATTTCGTTCCTAAACACTTCCCTGTTTTTACCTATAACGAGGATGGAGACATTGAGGTGGACTACCCTTTCATCAGGAATGACTGCTTTTACTATGGCTTTGTACAGGATGAGCCTTCCTCCCTAGTCACCCTCAGCAGTTGCTCAGGAGGACTCAGAGGCTTCCTACAAGTGGGTAATAAGCTTTACGAAATTGAACCTCTGCAGGCATCTACTTTCCAGCACGTGGTCTACAGACTGGAAGAGAAGGGGAGTGATATCCCAATCAGGTGTGGAGTAATGGAAGAGGACAAAAACTACCAGGAGGCCATGATCCAGAACAGAGAGGATATTGTAAGCAAAAGTGCTTTGAGGGGACTATGGCAAACATACCCCAGGTACATGAAGATAGCGATTGTAGTAGAACATGAGCGATACGTCCAATTTGGTAGAAACGAAACTCTCACTGCTAGGCAAGTCCTGGATGTTGTTCACCTTGCAGATTCGCTGTACAAACCTCTTGGGATTCATTTGGTGGTGGTTGGATTAGAAATATGGTCACAAAAGAACCTCATTGCAATAGCAAAAAGCATAGACGAATTGCTTGACACTTTCAATACATGGAGGAAAACGATACTTGTCCAGCATCTAAGGCATGATGTTGGCCACTTATTTGTATATAAGCATTTTGGGATTAAGTTTGGATTATCGTTTGTTGGGTCTGTATGTGATCCGAACTGGGCATCTGCTGTCGAGGCATTTATTACTTCTAGTTTATTTTCTTTCACAATAACTTTTGCTCATCAACTGGGTCATAACCTTGGTATGCAGCATGATGAGAAATCCTGCACCTGTAAACAGCATTCTTGTATTATGGCTCCCTTCCAAAGCAACACAAGTAAGTTCAGCAACTGCAGTTATACCAGTTATTCTAAGCTAATGGATACTACTAGAAAGCAATGCCTGTTAATTCCGCCAGAACATGAGAAATTATATGACCTCAGAAACTGTGGCAACAAGGTAGTAGAGAGTGGAGAACAGTGTGACTGTGGTTCAAAGTTCCATTGTGAATCAGATGCATGTTGCCAGTCCAACTGTATGTTGCGTTCAGGAGCCATTTGTGCTTTTGGAAAATGCTGTGCTGACTGTCAGCTTCTACCAGCCAGCACAGTTTGTAGAGAAAGGACTAGCGTGTGCGATCTTCCCGAATACTGCACCGGAATTTCAGAGTGGTGTCCTGAAGATGTTTATGTACAGGATGGAGCTCCGTGCTCTGATGGGGGCTATTGCTATCATGGAGAATGCTCTACTCACAGTGAGCAATGCAAAGTTATCTTTGGCAAGGAAGCATCGGTTGCCCCACTGAAGTGCTTCAAAGCAATAAATTCTCGAGGTGATCGTTTTGGCAATTGTGGCATTATTCCTGGTAATATGTATAAGAAGTGTGAGAACAATAATGCCTTGTGCGGCAGAGTCCAGTGTGTAAACATCGGTGAAGTGCCTAATTTGAATGAGCAGAACACCATAATCCAAACTTCTCTTAGCAACCATTTGTGCTGGGGTATAGATTCTCCAAGTGGAAT